CCTTTGCCCTCTTTTTCCCTGATGCCCACCCCCTCACCACTCTCTGCCCCCATTCCCCTCCTGCCCCTCTGTGCCCTCACGCATGACTTGCTCCATCCTGGCCTTCCTCATGCCCGCCCCTTCTTTCAAGCCTTCTCCCAGCACCTCCTCCTCCAGCCCCCAATGCCCTTCCCTTCCCCTCTCCTCTCCTCTCCTCTCCCAGCATCACCCTGTCCTCCCCTCCCACTGACACCTCTGTTCCTGCCCTTTCCCTCATTGTCTGCACTTGGCCCCCTGGCATTTGTCTCTCTCCTGAACCCTGTCCCTTGGTGCCTTTCCTTCCCCTCCGCTGCCTCCTCGTCACCCAAGCCTGTTTCCTACCTTCTGCCTTCCACATTGCGGGGCCGGAGGCCGGCCCCAGAGGCAGCATGGCCCTGCCACATGCCTCCGAAGAGTTTTAAAATTCCGGGCCGTGACATCACATCACGCTTGGGCGTTCTCCTCACCCACGTGCAACACCGCACATGGGCAGCAGCAGGCGGTGAGGAGGAGCTGCGCACAGCAGGGACGCTCTGGGGGCGGGGTGGGAGGACGCACTTGGGGGCCGGGACCGGAGCCTGGGCCCGGACCCGCTCCAGGCAGAGCCGGGGGAGAGAGACCCAGCTCCACGTATTGGTGGAGCAGGGCCCCGGCTCTATAACTCACCGGCACTTCCGGGTTCAGAGGTGCGGGGCCCAAATCGGCCTAAGACCGGCCCTTCTGGCAGCCACCAGCCATGCTGAGGCCTGGTATTTTTTTCCCGCGGCCTGGTACCGGGCCGTGGCCCATAGTTTGGGAAACGCTGAGTTAGAAAAATGAAATTGACTTTGGTACTTTTATACTTATGTTTATTGATCTGGCTAGTCCATTTGTCCAAAATAGTGCTTGGATTTTTTTTTCTTGATGAGGGCCATCAGGCCAGACATACTAGTTGTTAGAGCTTTGAAAGATTATCATTAAACCGATATTTATCATTCAACACATCAGATACGAAAAGAAAAGAGTCTTTGTCTATATGTTGTATTTATAAAAGTCAAATTCAAATTATTCACCTGAGGACAAATCTCGTTTGCTTTGGTCACACAAGTAGATGCTCTATTTACTTCAAAGGGTCTATATGCATTGAAGGTTGAATAATTTTTGGCCAGTTTAAATCTGTTTAACAAATCTATTTATATCCATATATAATTATCGGCCCTGACTAATTCTGTTTGCCCTGAGGAAAACGATTCTTTTTCAATGGTTGAGTAAAGTAACATTGTTTGGTCACACTTACCCCCAGTATCATAATCATAGTAAAGAATAGATTAGTAGATTGTGCCTTCATAAATACATTTTCAATACTCTTGCCAGGCTAAACTGATAATTTTCCATTAGTGTACTATGTAGCAAAATATTCATGAAAACTTACTAGCCCAAACAGGATGCATTTAATTACCCTTTGCTATAATCTTAATCAATGGCATTTTTGTCTCCATGCTGATGACACTTTACTCACCAGTCCAATTACAGAAAGAAAAGGTGCCATGTTTTTTCCTGCAGCCTTTTCCAACAAACAAGCAAAACTAAACAACACAAATGCAAGTGTAGGCATTTTCCATATGTATGCTCAGAGTATACTGTACACTTCTGTGTTTACTGACAGGTGTATTCTTATCTTGTCTGTGTATATTCTTTCCATAAATCTTCCTCTTCGTATCAGATTAAACTTGTTGGTTGATGTTTTAAAATTAGGCTTTTCTAGGACAACAGAATCTATGTGTGATTATACTGTAAATTTTATTTTTAAAGCAATATTTTTAGGGAAAAGGGAATTGTGTAAGAATTAATAAGTATTACAGATAACCCATATTTTATCTGAGAAACAAATAAAGATTTCAGTTACATGGTTCACGTAAAGGTGTTAAACCCAATTTGACTAGGAAAAGGAGCTTTCTGTGATGGATCTTAAATGCTGTAGTTATCCAAAGTGTTTCAAATTAATTAGTTGGAAATTGTAGCCAATCATGACTCTAAAAGATTGCTTGCTTTTTAAAGAATTCAAAATGAGTGATCTAATTTTCCCAGCAAAAGCAACTCATTTCACTTTGCCGTTTTTTCAATATCTTGAACAAATATGTAAAAGGTGTCTCATCTATTGTTGAATGTACAGTTTGTCACTTTTCCCATAAATTGTTCATAGAAAAAATATCCAGATTCCTTGCGGGTTTTTTTAATATTCCACAATTAGTGGCCCTAACTTTAATTTTAATTAAATTAAATAAAACTTTGGATAGACACATGATCTGAGCTCAGGCTGAGAGCTTGGAACCACTCTGTGCCTTCACTTTGTTTTATAAAATATGATTATTTACCAGCTGCAGATGGCTGTTTTGAAGTTTGGAGTTCCAATTCTGTAATGGCATATACATGAGTGGATGCAATTAAAGGATTAAGTAGTTTGCTAGCAAAGTACTTTTGTAGGTGCACATATTATAATTCGTACACATCAATGACAATAATAAAATAGTCTTTAAATATTATAAATCAATGCAGCCTTGTGGAAATAAATGTAATGAAATTGATGAGTCTTAATTCTGAATACACTTCATCCATAGAGCCCAAAGTGTTCTTTAAAGGAAGATAAGTTGTTTGTTTTAATTTTCCCACTTCAATGTATGGTAAAATGGGAGACCAAGTTTAATTGTGACCCTATTGAAGTAAATAGAAGTTCTGCCATTGGCAAGAACATTTAACCTCTTTGTAATTGAAATGCTGGGCTCACTGATGTGAGATTTTTGACAAGAGAGTCAAGATTAGAACCTGCATCTTCTGTTCTAACCCTGGATATTACAACACAGAGCTTTCCTGTCCTATGTAATAAATAATACGTTCTAGATTTCCCCCAACCCCCACTGGATTGTTTAAAATAAAAAACTCCCTATGTCTCAGTACTGATGTAACTTGAAATTAGTCACCAAAATAACAAATCCACACAGAAACACCTTCTGACCCCCGACCAGGATTGTTCTATCTGCTTCCCAAGATCCATAAACCTGGGCACCCCGGACGTCCCATCATCTCTGGTAATGGCACGCTCACTACTGGTCTATCCAGCTATGTAGACTCTCTTCTCAAACCCTTCACAACCAACACCCCCAGCTATCTCCGAGATACTACTGACTTCCTAAGGAAACTACAAAACATTGATAACCTCCCCAATAACACCATCCTTGCCACCATGGATGTAGAATCTCTATATACCAACATCCCACATGAAGACGGATTACAAGCAATTAGAAACACTATCCCAGAGGACACCACTGCCAACCTGATAGCAGACCTATGTAACTTTGTTCTCACCCACAATTATTTCCAGTTTGAGAACAACTTATACCTCCAGATCAGCGGCACAGCCATGGGTACACGCATGGCCCCACAGTATGCTAACATCTTTATGGCTGACCTAGAACAACGTTTCCTCAACTCCCGTCCCCTTTCACCCCTCCTCTACCTACGGTACATCGATGACATCTTTATGATCTGGACACATGGCCAAGAAACACTGGAGATATTCCACAGAGATTTCAACAACCTACACCCCACCATCAACCTCAGCCTGGACCATTCTACACGAGAGATCCACTTCCTGGACACCACAGTACAAATCAACAATGGAAAATTAGACACCACTCTCTACAGAAAACCCACCGACTCATACAGTTACCTACATGCATCCAGCTCCCATCCAGAACACACCACACGATCCATCGTCTATAGCCAAGCCCTTCGATACAACCGCATCTGCTCTAACCCCACTGACAGAGACCAGAAGCTTCAGGATCTCTACCAAGCATTTATAAATCTCAACTACCCACCCAGAGAAACAAAAAAGCAAATTGAAAGAGCCAGACGAATACCTAGAAACCATCTACTTCAAGACAGACCCAAGAAAACCAACAATAGAACACCACTTGTCATCACCTACAACCCCCAACTTAAACCTGTCCAACACATTATCAATAAACTACAGCCTATATTGGAACAGGATACCATACTCAAAGAGGCTCTGGGAGACAGACCCATAGTCTCCTATAGACAACCACCTAACCTCAAGATGATTCTTACCAACCACCACAGGACATACCACACTAATACCAACCCTGGTACCTTCCCTTGCAACAAACCCCGTTGCCAGCTTTGTCCACATATTCATTCTGCTGATACCATTATTGGACCTAACCAAGTGAGTTATAAGATCAAGAACACATATTCCTGCGCATCCAGAAATATAATCTACGCTATCATGTGCCGAAAGTGTCCGTCTGCTATGTACATTGGACAAACATCTCAGACACTTCGCCAAAGGATTAATGCCCACAAAACAGATATCAGACAAGATCACAAAGAGAAAACAGTTTCTTGCCACTTTAACCAGAAAGGACACTCTCTAAATGACTTAGCCACCTGCATTCTGCTACAAAGACCTTTTACATCTGCACTTGAAAGGGAATCCTCTGAACTGTCATTCATGTTAAAATTCGACACTTACCAACAAGGACTTAACAAGTCTTTGAACTTTCTCACCCATTACCAAGACAGTTTCCCCAATTATCACCTGTAATACCATTAACTCACAAACATCCCACTCTCCCTACCTTTAATATCAGCAATTCACAGACACTTACCTCTTTTCATATGTGTTCATTTTTTTTAAAATTGTATCCTTTGGTATATATGGTTATGACTATTTTCTTCCACTATTTGATCTGAGGAAGTGGGTCTGGCCTACGAAAGCTCATCATCTAATAAACCATCTTGTTAGTCTTTAAAGTGCTACATTGTCCTGCATTTTGCTTCACCAAAATATGTAATACATATTTCATCTTTTCATGTTTTAGTGTTCTTTAACATGACGACAAAGCTAATTACAATATACTTTAGGCCATGATTTCAAACAGTGTTTAAAGAATTCTTTCACAGCAAGGGTGTCTATTCTTTTTGTTTTCAGGTTTTGAATTCATTTTGTGAAGCTTGCAAGGAAGTCACTTTTAATGTTCCTTCTAAATTAGAGGCTGGGACATTAGTTGGAAAAGGTAAGAAGTTTCAAGATGTCCTTCAAAACTATACAGCATCGTTTTGCCATTTCTGTACCTGCTTTTACAATGAAAGGGATATACTGATTTCTTTTTCAGTACAATTTATTTATTGCAGCTGGGACAACACTCAGTTAAATTCAGTTGTATATTAGATTTACCTTTTATTGAAGCATTTACTGTGTTTTGTTATACAATTCAATGTTGCTTACTGCCAGAGTATGCATTTTGATTTTTTTGTTACAACAGAATAGCAGATTTTGTTTTGTTTTATATTCAAGGCAGTAGTTTAGGCCAGTGTGTTCAAGCTTGGGGGGGGGTGGGGAACCGCTAAATATGTGGTCTAAACACCAGAAGTGTGTTGAATGTTCATAAATCCCATAGAAAAGATACATATTTTTTTTTAGTAATTACCTTGGATTTTTTTTTTCTTTTAAACAAAACAGATTGTATTCCTTGTGTCACTGATATGTCAGCAGTGAAATAAAATATGGTCAAATACTCAGCTGTGGCTATGAAGTATTTAGTACAGTATTCAAGAAAGAAGTTCCCCAGTCCTGGGGTTGTTCGGTACTGGGCTGAGCAATTCAAGTTTGAGCCATTTGATGGGGATTAGCAATGCCTAGACAACACCCACTTTTTCCAGATCTTTTTTTCTATGGCAGCATTTAGGAAGGGTGTGATGTAGGAGCTGCTACAGAGGCTTTGTGCCAACTGAGGATCCTCCTACACAATGGGAGCTGAATCTGAGGCTGTCTTATATCAGTACTGGCACAGTTTTGGAACATGATTCAGAATAGGGGCCATAGTCTCAACTGCCTCTGTTCCTTCAGTAGATTTTTATCCCACCACAGTGTTTATCTTTATTAATCAAAGCTACCTTTAAAAAGAAGGGGAATAAAAAGAACATGATGGAAATGTTCACCTTAATGTCAGGTTTTATAATGAAAACGTATGCAGCTGATCATTGTATATTATTTTCATAGAATACTAGGACCTCGAGGTCATCAAGTCCAGTCCCCTGCACTCACGGCAGGACCAAGTACTATCTAGATCTGTGTTGTCCAGCCATTTCTGAAGCATTAGCCACTATATTGACTACTGTCTAGCAAACTAGCCACACTCAACTGCTGTTCTTTCGCATTTTATTGGGAGAGGATGCTGGTTTAGTGGTAATACAACTGGTGATACATAGCGCAATGGTAAAACAAGCAAGGATTTTCCCCACAATTGCAAAATTCTATGTGATTTTAAAATCCTGCGGCATGTAAGAGTACAGAGAGCTATTCAGTAGTAGGAGTAATGCCGATGTACCTCAGATATAGAATTCATTCTCAAGCACTCGCTTTTGGAAAAGTAGTTGAAGGAAAATTCTGTGGTGTCTTGCATGATGATATAAACTGATTTTGTGTAGACAAAACAGGAGTGAGATTTGCTGAAATGCTATATCATAATGTTAGTTTGAGTATTCAACAGTAAGCTTGTTCTAAAGAAAATGAAGGAACACTGTCAAATTACCCCCTCCTTGGTTATACTTAAGAACCATGGAGATGGAATCTGTTTTTTTGAGTGCCTGTCTTCCATAATCTGCACATTGGCAAAATCCTGGTTCCATTGAAGTGTGTGGGGAATCTTGCCAGTCAATGAAGACACAATTTCATCCACTGAGTTATAGCAAAATTATAAATGTACGTGGGCGATGGCACTGTATTAAGAAAGAAACACTTTGAAGGGGGTCAAAAATACACAAGAATTATTATATGAATTTGGGAAACATTAGTCACCAAAGTGAAACCTATCCCCTCTCTCCTTTCCAGCAGTATGTGTGTAAAATACTCACTATGGCTAACTATCAAAATACTCACTATGGTTAACTATTCTTTAGCAGATGGCCTAATATGCTTAACAAATGGATGGATGTGCAATATGAATGTAAACTTTGTCCAAAAGCTGGGCTTTAAATTTATACTTTTACTCTTAAATAAAAGTAGCCTGATATTTAAGGGTGCTAAACATGTTGACTTGAAATAAGTTCACTTTTTTATATAAGTGCATAAACATAAATCAGATTTCAGACATGTCTGTTTGAAAACATTTGTTTTGTTGTGACTTGAGAGAGTAATTGCAAATTTTTCTTACAGTAAATCTGAAAGAGTGCCTTAAGTCTGCAGAACATATTAGTTCAAGTGATCCGAACTTTAGAATACTAGAAGATGGTTCTGTGTTTACAACAAATACAACTTCTTTGTCTTCTGAGGAAAAGACTTTTACCATCTTACTCAAGGATGTTCAAGGGCATGAAGAAAAGACGATAGATGTCAATTTGCTAGGTCATCAAGAAAAGGTAGGCTCATAATTGTTAGATATTTTACTTCTTGCTTTTTGTTTTAAACTGCCTGTTTACAGTTCATTGTGTAAAATTTGTTTATAATTCTTAAAATGATTGCTCGCTCTATACAAAAGTGTACTTTTTATTTAGCAATACCTAATAAGGGCATGCATTTACATTTTTAAGACTCCTTGAGTGGCAAAGGCTAGAAATTATGACCTTTGCCACAGGGTTAAGCAGATTAAGCAATTAAAAACCTATAGAGCACTGTGTATTTGTAGGAGGTACTAAAATCATATGTTGCTTAGGGCTGAAGAATTCTCAAAACAACAGAATTAAGTGGAATCATGAAGAAGATGACTTAAAAGTACAAAGTGGCCTATAACATTTGGAGGGAGTCCTGAGAAGGGGAAAAATGAAGGGAAACAAGAATATAAACCTTATGAATTTATGGGTTGATCTTTACTTAATTATCTCCTTTGGCCTTCTAAATCCAGACACATAAGACAAGACATGCTAGAGATACAGTCCTCAGGAGAACCAAAAGAAGGTGGGCTCCTATCCCATCCTCTCAGTACAATTTATTGCAGCTGGGACAACACTCAGTTAAATTCAGTTGTATATTAGATTTACCTTTTATTGAAGCATTTACTGTGTTTTGTTATACAATTCAATGTTGCTTACTACCAGAGTATGCATTTTGATTTTTTTGTTACAACAGAATAGCAGATTTTGTTTTGTTTTATATTCAAGGCAGTAGTTTAGGCCAGTGTGTTCAAGCTTGGGGGGGTGGGGAACCGCTAAATATGTGGTCTAAACACCAGAAGTGTGTTGAATGTTCATAAATCCCATAGAAAAGATACATATTTTTTTTTAGTAATTACCTTGGATTTTTTTTTTCTTTTAAACAAAACAGATTGTATTCCTTGTGTCACTGATATGTCAGCAGTGAAATAAAATATGGTCAAATACTCAGCTGTGGCTATGAAGTATTTAGTACAGTATTCAAGAAAGAAGTTCCCCAGTCCTGGGGTTGTTCGGTACTGGGCTGAGCAATTCAAGTTTGAGCCATTTGATGGGGATTAGCAATGCCTAGACAACACCCACTTTTTCCAGATCTTTTTTTCTATGGCAGCATTTAGGAAGGGTGTGATGTAGGAGCTGCTACAGAGGCTTTGTGCCAACTGAGGATCCTCCTACACAATGGGAGCTGAATCTGAGGCTGTCTTATATCAGTACTGGCACAGTTTTGGAACATGATTCAGAATAGGGGCCATAGTCTCAACTGCCTCTGTTCCTTCAGTAGATTTTTATCCCACCACAGTGTTTATCTTTATTAATCAAAGCTACCTTTAAAAAGAAGGGGAATAAAAAGAACATGATGGAAATGTTCACCTTAATGTCAGGTTTTATAATGAAAACGTATGCAGCTGATCATTGTATATTATTTTCATAGAATACTAGGACCTCGAGGTCATCAAGTCCAGTCCCCTGCACTCACGGCAGGACCAAGTACTATCTAGATCTGTGTTGTCCAGCCATTTCTGAAGCATTAGCCACTATATTGACTACTGTCTAGCAAACTAGCCACACTCAACTGCTGTTCTTTCGCATTTTATTGGGAGAGGATGCTGGTTTAGTGGTAATACAACTGGTGATACATAGCGCAATGGTAAAACAAGCAAGGATTTTCCCCACAATTGCAAAATTCTATGTGATTTTAAAATCCTGCGGCATGTAAGAGTACAGAGAGCTATTCAGTAGTAGGAGTAATGCCGATGTACCTCAGATATAGAATTCATTCTCAAGCACTCGCTTTTGGAAAAGTAGTTGAAGGAAAATTCTGTGGTGTCTTGCATGATGATATAAACTGATTTTGTGTAGACAAAACAGGAGTGAGATTTGCTGAAATGCTATATCATAATGTTAGTTTGAGTATTCAACAGTAAGCTTGTTCTAAAGAAAATGAAGGAACACTGTCAAATTACCCCCTCCTTGGTTATACTTAAGAACCATGGAGATGGAATCTGTTTTTTTGAGTGCCTGTCTTCCATAATCTGCACATTGGCAAAATCCTGGTTCCATTGAAGTGTGTGGGGAATCTTGCCAGTCAATGAAGACACAATTTCATCCACTGAGTTATAGCAAAATTATAAATGTACGTGGGCGATGGCACTGTATTAAGAAAGAAACACTTTGAAGGGGGTCAAAAATACACAAGAATTATTATATGAATTTGGGAAACATTAGTCACCAAAGTGAAACCTATCCCCTCTCTCCTTTCCAGCAGTATGTGTGTAAAATACTCACTATGGCTAACTATCCTTTAGCAGATGGCCTAATATGCTTAACAAATGGATGGATGTGCAATATGAATGTAAACTTTGTCCAAAAGCTGGGCTTTAAATTTATACTTTTACTCTTAAATAAAAGTAGCCTGATATTTAAGGGTGCTAAACATGTTGACTTGAAATAAGTTCACTTTTTTATATAAGTGCATAAACATAAATCAGATTTCAGACATGTCTGTTTGAAAACATTTGTTTTGTTGTGACTTGAGAGAGTAATTACAAATCTTTCTTACAGTAAATCTGAAAGAGTGCCTTAAGTCTGCAGAACATATTAGTTCAAGTGATCCTAACTTTAGAATCCTAGAAGATGGTTCTGTGTTTACAACAAATACAACTTCTTTGTCTTCTGAGGAAAAGACTTTTACCATCTTACTCAAGGATGTTCAAGGGCATGAAGAAAAGACGATAGATGTCAATTTGCTAGGTCATCAAGAAAAGGTAGGGTCATAATTGTTATCTTGGTGTGTGTGGTTTTTTTTTTGGGGGGGGGGAAATGCCTCTTTACAGTTCATTGTGTAAAAGTTGTTTATAATTCTTAAAATGATCGCTCTATACAAAAGTGTACTTTTTATTTAGCAATACCTAATAAGGGCATGCATTTACATTTTTAAGACTCCTTGAGTGGCAAAGGCTAGAAATTATGACCTTTGCCACAGGGTTAAGCAGATTAAGCAATTAAAAACCTATAGAGCACTGTGTATTTGTAGGAGGTACTAAAATCATATGTTGCTTAGGGCTGAAGAATTCTCAAAACAACAGAATTAAGTGGAATCATGAAGAAGATGACTTAAAAGTACAAAGTGGCCTATAACATTTGGAGGGAGTCCTGAGAAGGGGAAAAATGAAGGGAAACAAGAATATAAACCTTGTGCATTTATGGGTTGATCTTTATTTAATTATCTCCTTTGGCCTTCTAAATCCAGACACCTAAGACAAGACATACTAGAGATACAGTCCTGAGGAGAACCAAAAGAAGGTGGGCTCCTATCCCATCCTCTCTGATGGAGAACGCTCTTGGACCTTTTCCAATGCTAATTCAACAGGTACACTTTATACATCAGCTGTTTTTATAATGTAAGTTGCAGTATTTTGAATTGGTCAGATAAAAAGGTAGGTCACTGCTTTTGGATTCAGATGATATCTTTGCAAAAAAGTGAAGAAAACCAACCCAATCATGCTTTTAGAAAAGCAACTGTGAATCCTGTAATTGCTCTTCAGGAAAATAAAAACCTCAAGATTAATTCATCCCCTTTGTGTATGTGCATTGGTACAATCTTGACAAATATCACATAGGAAGTCTGAGGCAGAGTTAACATTAAAACACAGCTCCTAAATCCCAGGCCTATATCTCAAAACTTCGTCCCATTCATTGTCTATTCTGAGGTCCTGTAGCACAATTAATGTGATCACGTCACGGAAAACTGTACCATACATATACATAAAAGTGCCAAATTAAGGGTGCACAGTTACTCAGCCTGGAAAGGGGAGGGAACGATACTTGCATATCTAGCAAAGTAAGTGTGAGAGAGTGCCCATCCCTTAATGAGTGCAACTTAAAAATATTTACATCAGCCCTGACTAGCACATCTTGACTTATGCCAAAGAGGGGAGATGCTTCTGTTGTGTGTTAAGTTTTGTCTGGAGCACTAGCTCCCTGCCTACTGTGTAAGAGACAGAATGGAGCCTGAAGCATGCTCATTGCAGTCACCATGGAGATCTGTGGGGCTGGAACATGCTTTTTGCATTTCTGGAGACTTTTAGAAACATTCTAAAAAGCTCTACTTACCATGTGCAAATACCACTCTTCAAAGTACAAAAGCCAGCCAGATGAGGACCAAAAAAAGGCATCTCCCTGACTCCAGTGCATTCCTCTTGCCAAATATTAAATCCCTGATCCAAAGAAGGAAGGTGCTAGATTTCTTAAAACTGTAAGAAGGACTAACAGTGACAAAAGAACTTCCCCTTCAAAAATAGCCCCTAAACCCATAGCTAGTCTAGGGATGTTAAAAAGAGTCTATTTGTGAAAATGTGTAATCACTCACATTTTTAGTGTTTACTTGTTTCCATGAAGGTGGGTAGGCGGCAGCCAGTGCTTGCATGAGTTGGCTTTTAGTTCGCTCCTCACAAGCACAGGCTCCCACCTCTTTTCTTCCTACCCTCGGCAGTCTCTGATAGAGAGGCAGCAGCTCAGGGGGCAGCTGGCTTCCTGCCTGGCCCATCCCATGTTGCTGCCTCTGGGTTCACTGGCTTTTGCCTCTTGAAACAGAAGTAGCAAGGGTGTGTGCTTGCGTGCATGTGCGTGCGCACGTTCATAACCATTAGGATTAACAGATGAACCATCCTTAGCAGTTAGCATGTAATCCTTTACACAATTAACATCCCTAATCCAGTCATAAATGGCTGAGCCAGTTTTGCCTAAAAAGTTACCTTGAGATGTTGCCAATGTTAACTAGAATGATTGAGTGGTTGAAAATAGGGTTTTTAATTAAAATTGTTAGGCAAACTTAGCTGTACCTGGCATCACTGTCTCTGTGATGCTGTGCCTAAGTAATTTTTTAATAAACTAGGGGGTGATGCCACCTGCTTGCTGCTCTTGTTAACCCACCTGTGTCGGGGGTTGGCAGGCCTGGGTTTTCCCTGGCTTCCTGGGAGGGCCCAACTTGCCTGTGTCTGGGGGTCGGCAGGCCTGGGTCTGCCCTGGCCACCTGGGAAGGCCGACAGCTGTGCCATTCCTGGCCTCTTGGATGGTTCTCCTCTGCAAGGCTCTTGCCCCTTTAGGAGGGTTGGGGCTGATCTAGCGGGCTGCGGGGCTGGCAGCAGCAGCTCCTTGCTATGCTCTCAGGCCCTGATCCTCCAGGTCACCGCGGGGAACTGCTGCCTCTGCCTGGCCCATTCTCAGGCCGCCACTCTCCACACCCCCCTGGTCTCCATTCCTATGTCCCCCTCACCTCTACCACTGCTTTTATCACACCTCCCATCCCCACATACACCCTATCCCCCTTCCTCCCTCTCCCTCTCATGAGTGGGCAGCCTAATTAGCAAGGGAACGGCACCAGCGGTTTGGCAGCTGCTCCGAATGCTGCTGGGCTGCCCATTTGTGACGCCTTGGGACACACCCCCCTGGTCTCCATTCCTATGTCCCCCTCACCTCTACCACTGCTTTTATCACACCTCCCATCCCCACATACACCCTATCCCCCTTCCTCCCTCTCCCTCTCATGAGTGGGCAGCCTAATTAGCAAGGGAACGGCACCAGCGGTTTGGCAGCTGCTCCGAATGCTGCTGGGCTGCCCATTTGTGACGCCTTGGGAGATGGTGGTGGGGGAAGTTAGCCCCTGACTCGACCTGCTTGGAGTCCGTTGAGGGGTGGGATAGTCTCCCCACATACACCCTATCCCCCTTCCTCCCTCTCCCTCTCATGAGTGGGCAGCCTAATTAGCAAGGGAACGGCACCAGCGGTTTGGCAGCTGCTCCGAATGCTGCTGGGCTGCCCATTTGTGACGCCTTGGGAGATGGTGGTGGGGGAAGTTAGCCCCTGACTCGACCTGCTTGGAGTCCGTTGAGGGGTGGGATAGTCTTGGGGAGGGGGTTAATTGCCGGCCTTTGTGGTGTGGAGCGAGC